TTGTCTTTCCTATTTTCCTCAATATCACAATTTCATTTCAAGTAGTGTTTTGTGAAATTTTGCGTAACAGGTTTGCGAACAGTTCACAAGCATACGTAGTATCTATCACATTCCAATGAAAATAGTTTACAATAAGGAGCAAACAATGATATTAGAGTTTTTTTTACCTTCATCTTTTGAATTTAACAGAGGGGATGTGTTGGACTTTGTAATAATCATCTCCTCCTTCGGACAATCTCGTCTCCCATTCCTCTCCCATTTTATAAAACTGCAGCTCTATTAAGAAAGTGATAGATCGCAGTCCATCAGGAAGCTCCATTAACTTCTTGCATGTATTAATAAAGAGAGAATGGAGAAGGGGCATGGCGCCTTCTTCTACTATCCACTCTTCCCACTCCTCTAGATCCCCTAAACGTAGCTTCTGTAGTTGAGGAAACCCTCCTCTCAAGCAAACCATTCTCCTACCACTGAAAGATCCACTCTCTAATCTAACCTCTTTCAGATGCACCAGCTTCTCTAGAATCGGCATTGGATCCTCTTTCAAACGACAGTAATTTAGCTCAATGGTTGTAAGGTGAGCAGGAAAGTGTTGATCATCAGGTAACGTTGGCATATATATATTCAACTCCAAATTTCTTAGATGAACAAAATCCCAAACAAATCCTTCTTCTTCAACATCATTTGTGGGAGTACACGACCTGTTTTTTCTTATAACTAGATTCTCCAAGTATCTCAGTTTACTTAGAGATGAAGATAGTGTTCCCATGGAACACCCCTCGCTTTCGATGTAAATATAAAGGGTCCTGAGCCGTGTCATACCTTGGAGATCACTCACATTCCCATTCTCTGGTGAGAAATTCTCCAATGTCTCCAGGTTGACCAGATTATCCAATTCCAACTTTACCTTATCATGTAAGATATTTGGCAAGTAGAGGTATGTCAATTCTCGCATTTCTTTCAAGAAATTGGACATGTGTAGTTCATTTCGAAAATGTACATGTAGATTTAAATAGAGCAGCTGCTTCAGATTCCGCATAGAAGAAGGTAGATGAGTTACATGTCCCCCTTCTAAACTCAAATATCTCAAGTGGATGAGCTTCCCAATGCTAGAGGGTACCTTCCCTCCTTCAAACATCACCCGTGTGAGATCTAACACTCTCATCAATTCTAGCTTTGTAAAGAATAAATAAGTTGTCGTCCAATATACTTTCCCCATAAACAATAGATTTCTAAGTCCTGGGTTCTTCACCTCCGTCTCCACATTAAAGAATTTGGCATCCCTATTCACAGAGAGTCTGCGAGATGTAGAGTTTGCAGTTGATGTGCCTTGAACTTGTAGAAAATTCTCTTCTTCAGCTTTGAATAAACAAACTTCTCTCATCATGTCATGCAACTGGCATGTTTTGAATCGTGAAGTCATACCGTCTCTTTCAGAAATAATCATGCTTCTCTTCACCAATTCTTCTATGTATCCATCTCCCACATCACGAATGCTTGCTCCAACATAATACCCCGGCCTTGGAATTCCTTCTGCAGCCCAATAATATGACAACTTCTCCACACATATTTCATAATCTTCTGGAAAATGAGCTAGGTAGAGGAAGCAGTGCTTCAAATAAACAGGCAGCTCCTCATAGCTCAGATACAAAACGTGGTAAACTGAACTGAGATTTGAGTTGTCCCCTCCAACGATGTGAGCTTTTATATTCTCATATATCCTTTTCCACTCATGCAGTATGTATTTCTTACCTAACAACCCACCTAACACCTTAAGGGCCAAGGGTAAACCTCCACAATGTTTGATCATTTTCTTACCCATCTCTTCCATTCCTTCGTCAATCTTAAATTCTGCACATCAGTTACAACAATGTTTTAAAGGATCATATGTCTGCACACCTTAATAGATATTTGAGTCACTTTTCTTTAATTTACTTGAAGAGAAAAGAATATCCACATAAATTGTTTTTGGGAACTTACCAGCTGTGTCTGTCATAGGAAACACCATATTTTGAAAAAGCTCCCAACTTTTTTCAAAAGTCAGGCATTTTGGTTTGAAGGTAAAACATTGTCTATCTGCATGTAATGCCACTCCCTCATTACGAGAAGTAAGTAATACCTTCCATCCTGCAATACATTTAATTATATATTAATCTGAGTTTTTAAAATATGCGGCCTAATGTATATAACACGAGGATGTTCACCTTTTTTCGGCAGAAACACATGCTTGATTAGGTCCCAGTCTTCTTCTTTCCATATATCATCAATGATGATCAAAGCCTTTTGTGTTTCCAATACCCGAACAAGCTTTTCATGAAGTACTTGTTCTGTCAACTCTAACACCTTGATTTCAGGCCTGAGTTGTTGCAAGATCGTCTGCCATACACACTTCCTTTCAAACTGTTGTGAAACACAAATCCAAGCCAATCCTGGGAAATGACATTTTATCTTCTCATGATTATAAACTTGTCTCGCGAGAGTGGTTTTACCAAGACCGCCCATCCCGGTTATTGAAACCACTTCACTGCTAGCCTCCTCCACCAAATAGCCAACCAATTCATCAACATTTCTCTCCATCCCGATGAGAGAGTCTTCTTGGTTAACGCTAGAAAACATTTGTCTTCGTTCGTCCTGTGGAGGCTTACGCCTTTCACTAACAATGACCCGTTGTACGCCAAAACTCTGCATATCATTTATCACCTTAGAGATCCTCTTACTTATGGCTTCCATATCAAAAGCAAGTCCCCTGCGTTCCAAAGTAATGCAAGAAAATCTTCTGACACTGTTCCTCATAACACTTTTGCTTCCGAGTTCTTTCTTTAAAAGGAAGGTTTCGACTATATCTTCTGCATCTAACACAATTTCTTTGATCTCTTTGATACTGTTTCTCACCATAGAACTTGTATGTTTCTTGGCATCTGCATCTTCCAGAAAACACCTTAACATATTCAGATCACTTTTTAGTCCATTGAATTGCTCTTCAACTCCCCGAAATCTCTCAGATTCTCGAACAAGGAGTTTCCAAAGCTTCTCAACTCCAAACGACAAAAGTGTCTCAGCCATAACTCTCCCCTGCTTGAACATGAAACAAGTACTTAATAACCACTAGAGGGAAAATCATTGAGTTCATAGTCCGGATATTACTTCTTTGCAGACTGTAATATATATACTATTTTGTGGGATCTAATCTATGAAAGATATGAACAGTTAAGATGAAATAAATATGCAAAATACAAAAAAGGATATAAATCACCTCTTGGAAATCTCTCTTCGTCCAACTGATGTGTAAAAGGAAATATGCACATGTGTTTTAGTTAGATAGAACTCAGCTCAAGACATATTACAAGAGTAGATTATTCTTAGTCAACACTAACCGACACAACCAGCTGTATTCACGAATCACGATGATGAGTTAATCTCCATGTTCTAAAGCCGGTCAACTCGGCCATATAGCTGGCTAAAACGCTTGACGCCGTGACTTAGTGATTTTTTTTGGCACAAACAGAGACTTATATAAAGGAATATTTTAATATTACCCTAAAAAGGTTTTTATGAACTCAATGGTCAAAATGGATTTCTATTAGCTAGAAAACTCGATCATGCAAATTTAGGAAAAAAAAATCAGTTTTAGGTTTTGACGGGAAAATCGATTTTGTGGGTTTGACAAAAAAAACGTGTCTTTAGTGTTTTGACTGAAAACTTGATTTTGAAGGTTAGATAAGAAAATTCAATTTTGCAGTTTTAGCGGAAAACTCTATTTTTAGTTTTATCTAGAAAACCCAATTTTGCGATTTTGGTGTAATCTCAATTTTCTGTTTTGGCGACAAAACTCAATTTTTGTTTTTTGTTTTGATGGGAAAACTAGATTTTACGGTTTTTGTTGGAAAGACTCGATTTTCCGATTTGGCGGAAAACTCAATTTTATGGTTTCAGTAGGAAAACTCAGCTTTGAGTTTTGACGGAAAAGTCATTTTTTTTCCTAGTTTTGACTGGAAAATTTGATTTAAACTCGATTAACAATTTTGGTGGAAAAACTCAATTTTAGGGATTTGGCTAGGGGTCGGAATTTTTCCTGATACATGAACTCGTACCCGAATCCGAACTGAAATATCCGAACCGTAGCAAAATACCCAGACGGATATTGAGTTAAAAGAGATTGAATATCCGAACTAAAATGAGTAATACCCGAACCTGAACGGATATCTGAATATAACCGAATGTCTATATATATATTTTTTTCTTCCTAATTTATTTATCTCATGTTATTCAAAATAATTATACTAATGTTGTATATAGCTTAAGATCATATTATATTTATATCTATATATATATAATTGCAAAAAAATGATTTTCTACTTATTTAAAAGAGAAATTACTTATAATGACTCAAATAATACATGTAATGACTAGAATAACTCTTAAAGTTTTGTAATTACTAGACTAATCTTTAGGGTGAACCAAAGTACCAAAAACCCCTCGAAGCTCTTTTAGAAGATAGAAGGAATAATATAAAAAAAATCCCTAATTTCTCTCAACTTCTGTTCGTGGTAGGTCTGTTGACGAATCTCTTGGAGTTCCGGCGAGCTCCGAGATCTTCTCTTGCATAGATCTGGGAGTCGGCCTGGTGTTAACTGTTTTATCAGATCTACATCGGAGAAAGGTGATGTGTTCTGGTGTCGGAGTGTGCGGCGTCTATCTATGTGACTGACAATTCTCAACCAGCCTCGTGTTTTTAAGAAATTGTACTGTTTTCATCGATTTGAGTTTTCTTAGGGTTCAAACTAGATCTTTCATACTCTGTTTTGGCTTTAATTTTAGTGAGGGGTGTGGTTATGATAGCTATTTCTCTGTTTGATATGCACGAGTGCGGAGAGAAACGAAGAAAATCGAAGAGATTCAACTTGAAGATGAACCAATATCACCATTTGTCTTCTTCTTTAAGGTGAAGCTACGTTGGGAACAAGAAGGAAGCTAGCAGAATTTGTTTCATTGTGTGGAAAAATATGTCGGGAGAGGTACAGTGTATTCACAATCACTCAGCTCATAGTCTGATAATTGCAGGTGCTGGTGGTGCTGCTCACTTTGCAGGTATGTCTTAAACATGATCTCATCATGTCCCTACAAAAATACTAGAATTTCTGAAATAAATGTCTCTTTTTCTAG